ATAATCAAATCCGCAGAACTTGATTATCAATAAGAAAAACAGAAATTGGCTTAAGAAACTCTTGATCGAAAATTCAAAATCAAGAGGGAGAGAGAGAGAGAGAGAATTGCAAGAATGCTTTTCAGGATTTTGGATTGAATGAAATGGCTGATTTCGTAGCCTATTTATAGGCCTTGATGGATCTGATCGAATGGTCATGTCCCTTGATCTCATCCGATCAGATCTAACCGTTTGATCGACGATCTATGGTACCGATCATTTTGACATCGAATAGATGCGTTGACTAATCACACCTGATCATGATCGAGTGCCATCTCATCCATATGATCGCACGCATCTTTAATCAACGGCTATAATCAATCCGCTCCAGATCGAACACACAACCGTTTGATCGGTTGGCTGACTCATCACCAACGGACGACACATCACTGCCATGTGGAGCTAACTGTATTTCACGTCACCCATGCCACGCCGGATCTACGTCATCGCTCCAACCTATCTGATGCAAATAGGAAAGCGCCCTCATGTGTAAAGTGCGCCATCAAACGCCACACAACCCACTGCCCACGCGCGCGTGTATGAAGCACCATCCTTGCGGTGTGGGTGCATGCACACTAGCTTTCATCCCATAATTCCATATTCAAAAAAATATTATATGTAGCACTTTATTAAGTACTCCATGTTTTGCTCTCTTTCCAATGTGGGACAAAGTCTCCAGGCTTATTTCATGCTTTCCAAAGAAAAACATGGAAGGTTTTTAAAACACCCAAAAATTAAACTATAAATTTTGAAAACCATTTTGAAAATTCCCCAACAATTAATTCCTTGTTTATGTTCAGCTACATATACTCAATTATTAGGCCACTTAGGCTGTAGTCTAAGGCATACAAAAAAAAAATTCAAAAAATTCTTATTGTGAAAAGCCCCAACTTTTCAAAAGTTAGATAAGATATCGTTTTGTTAGTCTAAGGTCTTTAAAAACCTTGAGCCACAACTGTGATCATAATCTATTTGTCTAAATACATAATCTTAGTCATATGATCATATCTTGAAATTTTCACATAATGCTATTTACAAGTACAAGACTAAGACAGATTTGAGAACATAAGATTCCTAACCGCCTCCATGTCACTTTCTCAAATGACTATGGAATTTGTGTTCACACTGTCAAGCCCCAACTTCCGTGACAACGCCGCACATTCATTTAAGTGAGCATGCAAGGCTAAGAGTCCAATCACATAACCCACAATGTAAAGTACTCAAATTAAATCCTTAATTATCATAATGCTAAAATCCATAAAAATAAATAATTCTTATCATATGAAATTGTCCACCAAGTCCACTAATATAATCCACTAACAAAATAATAATCCCAGTACTTAAATCATAGTCCTACTCTCTACTCTCTACTCCCAGCACTCCCACAAGTAAAAACCCCGCGCAACTCTACTCCTCAAAATCTGAAAAAAAATAAAATAAAATAAGTGTAAGCTAGACAACCCAGTAAATAACCAACCACCACTGCTAGTTGGATCAAGTATACCAAAAAAAAAAATAGTCGATAACCAATATATATATTTTTTGCTACCATTCAATAAATAAACAATTATTTTGTAAGATGGTTTCATAGCTGAAAATAAACAGTGTAACAATACATTTTAATTGAAAAGACAATGAGGTAATTCGACGAAATCTCGTTGTTCAAAATTGATGGCTCGATATTCAATGGTTTAATGACGCAATTCACAAAACCCAAGTCTTGATGACTACGGTCACTTATCCCGTGACAAGGCCCAAAACCACATATAGGCCGGTGATAAAGCCTCAAAAGAAACTAATTTCTATGCCAATAAATAACCCCTATTGGCTAGGGCCCAAATCATAGTCAGACTAGAGTGATTTTCAAAATTTAAACAATACACAACTTTTAAATAAAATATTTGATATTTTCAAAATAAACATTTAGTACAATTTTCATAATAGTTCCATAAAATATTCAAATAATTTTCATAATAATATTCGATGTTATTTTATACTTAACCCATATTTTATTTTAAGAGAACATGAAGGCTATGAATAAATACTTATAATTTTAAACGATTCAATAGAAATAAAAATGAACCAACAGTGATAGAGGGTTACTTACACAAACGCTTAGAAATAATATTCCAACACCAACTCCAAACACCCAGCTCCACCACTTCAATCACACAAACCTAATAACAAAACCTCAAATAAATTAATATTTTTACGTGTTACATACACCCACAAAAACCCCACCATAATAGATTAATGTATTGCTTTAATATCCAAGTGATCAAACCATTCAACCCAACTTTATAGCCAAACACACCCTTACCCATGATACAAAACTCCATCGTTTCTATTACCCACCCAAAGTTACACTTACACATTGCACCCAATTCTCAAAACCTAAGTATGCACCTATAGATCTTCCAAATCCCCTTAATACATTGCTTGTTAAATTCCTCAACATAAACTTAATAATTAATAGTAAAGACAGATTTTACATTAACCAATAGGTGTCCCAAAATCACCAATGTGCTGCCTCCAATCCCTATTGTAGCCTCACTTGAACCTCTCTTCTCTTTTTCTTTTCTTTTTTTTCTTTTACCTTCTCAAACCCAAGCCGCCTATGGAGCAATTCCAAGCCTCTATTTTGTTTGTTTTCCAAGACTTAAAGCCACAATAGGTGGGCTTATTAACCTAATTTCTCAAAGTTACAAAATTACCCATCTAAGTAATAGGAAATATAATGCCATCTCATAACTAATTCTTTGATATTAATAAATGACCCATATAAATTAATTTAATTACTTGTCTATCCAATAAAATGATCCTACACAAAACTTGGGTTTTACATTCTTCCCATTTTAAAAGAAATTTCGTCCTCGAAATTTGACATACCTGTAGTCTCACAAAGTTGTGGATACTTTTGTCTCACTTCATCCTCAAGTTCCCAAGTAGCTTCTCTCTCTGAGTGATTGCTCCATTGAACCTTAACTTAGTGGATGACTCAACGCCTCAAAACCTGCTCTTTCTTATCAACAATTCTTACAGAGTGTTCCTCATAGATCAAATCCTCCTTAAACTGCAACGGTGCATGATCAATCACATGATTGGGATTCGGTATATACTTCCTTAACATCAAAACATGGAAGACATTATGAACTCCAACTAGTGAAGGTAGTAGGGCAAGTTTGTAAGCTACCTCTCCAATTCGATCTAAAACCTCAAATGGCCCAACAAATCTAGGACTCAATTTACCCCCAATGTCACGCCCCAAGCTCCGTGACAACGCCGCACACTCATATAAGTGAGCATGCAAGGCTAAGAATCTAATCACATAACCCACAATGTAAAATACCCAAATTAAATCCTTAATTGTCATAATGCCAAAATCCATAAAAATAAATAGTTCTTATATGAAAATGTCCACCAAGTCCATTAAATTAATCCACTAACAAAACAATAATCCAAGTACTTAAATCATGGTCCTACTCTCGGCACTCCCACATGTAAAAAAAAAAATCCCGAGCAGCTCTACTCTTTAGAATCTGAAAAAAAATAAGAGCAAGCTAGATAGCCCAGTAAATAACCAACTATCACTGCTAGCTGGATCAAGTATACAAAAATAAATAAATAAATCGATAACCAATAAATATAATTTTGTCTACAGTTCAATAAATGAACAATTATTTGCAAGGTGGTTTCATAGCTAAAAATAATCAATGTACAATACATTTTAAATGAAAAGCCAACAAGATAATTCAAAGTAATTCGTTGTTCAAATCGATGGTTCGATATTCAGATGGTTCAATGATTTGATTCACAAAACCCAAGTCTTATTGACTACGGTCACATAGCCCGTGACAAGGCCCAGAACCACACATAGGCCGGTGGTAAAGCCCCAAAAGAAACTAGTTTCTGTGCCAATAAATAACCCCCATTGGCTAGGGTCCAAATCATAGTCAGACTAGAGTGATGTGCCACAAGATATCTAAATTGCCTACTCTGTCCGTATACTTGAAGCCATTTGTTATATGTGAGTAATAAATTAGTAAAGCTATGTTCAAGTTAGATTATTTTCTATAAATGGAATAAAATCCGTTCTATGAAATGTTATGTTTTGTACTATGAATAATTGTCTAACTCTGATAGATATTTGTGGTATTTTTGCTGAGATTCAAGAATGCTATCTGTACGCGAACCGAAGGTTCTTTATGGACTGACAAGTTTTCTGTACCTGGCTGGAGGTTCCTATATGGAACTGACAAGTTATCCGTTCCCAGTCCGGAGGTTCCTTTATGGAACTAACAAGTTATCCGTACCCAGCCGGAGGTTCCTCTATGGAACTGACAAGTATGATCTTTGATACTCTGTGTGTGGTCTGTTCGCGTTAACAGATGTACTATGTAAGATTAAGCATGAACTCTGATTTTTGTACATGCTTTGAACAAGAATACGGAATATGAATATGTCTTCGATATAAACTCTGGTTTCTGAAATGGTTTTGGGACATCATTCATTTGACCCTTTACTCTGTTATTATTCACTGGGCTCCCGCTCACTATTTATTTGTTATGCATGTAGGTGAACAGACTCGTGACCAGGCTTAAGATGATGCCTGAAGAATTTTATGTTTGTCAGCCACCTTTTGTGCCTCCCGAAGAGGTTCTAAATTAAGTCAAGTCTCGTGGCCATGTTTTTGTGAATGCTTAAGACTTTGCTTCTTTTGGCTTACGAACAAACATCTCTGTTTATATGTACATGGATGATATGAAACTACTGTACCTTTATGGCGTCATATTTATGCGTATAAAATTTAAGATTATCTGGGCCATGTTTTTCTGCACAGCTCGCTGGACTATGTATGTTTTATATATTTGCTTCCGCAGCCCCTTATTATATGACATTCTGTTAAGAGGCCTTCGGTAATCCAAGGATTTCTAGCCGGTTACGATGCTAAACTTAAAAAAACCACCTCATAACTAATTCCTTGATGTTACTAAAATGACCCATATAAATTAATTTAATTACTACTTTAACCAAAAATAATTCTACACATAAAATTTTGGATTTTACATTCTTCCCCACTTAAAAGAAATTTTGTCCTCGAAATTTGACATACCTGGAGTCTCAAAAAGTTGTGGATACTTTTGTCTCATTTCATCCTCAAGTTCCCAAGTAGCTTCTCTTTCCGAGTGATTACTCCATTGAACCTTAACATAGTGAATGACTCGACGCCTCAAAACCTGTTCTTTCCTATCAGCAATTCGTATAGGGTGTTCCTCATATGTCAAATCCTCCTTAAACTGCAATGGTGCATGATCAATCACATGACTAGGATCCGGTATATACTTCCTTAACATTGAGACATGAAAAACATTATGAACTCCAACTAGTGAAGGTGGTAGGGCAAGTCTGTAAGCTACCTCACCAATTCGATCTAAAACCTCAAATGGCCCAACAAATCTAGGACTCAATTTACCACGAACACCAAACCTCATTACTCCTTTCATAGGAGACACCTTAAGGAATACATGGTCTCCAACCCCAAACACCAAATCACGTCTCCTGTTATCTGCATAACTTTTCTGTCTACTCTGTGCCGTGCGAAGTCGCTCTCTAATAAGATTGATCTTGTCCACTGTTTGTTGCACAATCTCAGGCCCTAACAACTTCCTTTCGCCCACATCATCCCAATAAATAGGTGATCTACACTTTCGTCCATATAAAGCCTTATATGGTGCCATCTGAATGCTCGCATGATTACTATTATTATAAGAGACTAAGGCCAAATGCTTATCCCAAGAACCTCCAAGATCATTAATACAGGCCCTCAACATGTCTTCCAAGGTTTGAATAGTTCTCTCTAACTGTCCATCAGTTTGAGGATGAAAGGCAGTGCTAAAATTCAAACTAGTGCCCAAAGCTATATGCAAACTCCTCCAAAACATAGATACAAATCTGCTATCTCTATCAGACACTATGGTCACCAGAATACCATGCAACTTCACAATCTCCGTGATATACAATTTTGCAAACTTCTCTAAGGAGAACCCTACCTTAAAAGCTAGAAAGTGAGCGGATTTGGTCAATCGATCAACAATAACCCAAATAGTATTGTTACCACCTTGGGTCCTAGGCAACCCTGTCACAAAATCCATGATCAACGATAACCCAAATAGCATTGTTACCACTTTGGGTCCTAGGCAACCCTGTCACAAAATCCATGGTAATATGTTCCCACTTCCACTCGGAAATAGGAGAGGTTGTAACTTACCTGCAGGTCTCTGATGTTCAACTTTCACTTGTTGACATACCAAACATTGAGCAACATACTGAGCAATTTCCCTCTTCATATTATTCCACCAAAAGTTCCTCTTTTAGTCTTTATACATTTTAGTGCTCCTTGGATGTACAGTATACCCTGAACTGTGAGCTTTTCTCAGGATTTCTCTCTTGAGCTCTAAATCATTAGGCACACATAACCTCTCTCCAAATCTCAAGGTTCCATCTTTATGCATACAAAATTCCATCTGTAGCCCTATTTCCATTTCGGCCTTAAGTTTTTTGCAACTGAGGATCTTTTCCCTGAGCATCTTTAATTCTATCAATCAATGTGGGTTGAACTCAAAGGTTTGCCAACTGCACTCCATGGTTATGCCATTTAATCTCGATATTTAACCTTCGCAAGTCCTCCAAGATATTCTTTTGGTTAGTGATCAAGGTAGCTAAATTACTTGGCGTCTTTCTACTCAAGGCATTAGCCACTGCATTGGCTTTTCCTGGTGATAATTGATAGTCAAATCATAGTCCTTTAATAGCTCCAACCATCGCCTTTGCCTCATATTCAATTCTTTTTGAGTGAAAATATACTTCAGACTTTTATGATTAGTGAATATCTCACATTTCGCCCCATACAGTTAGTGCCTCCAGATTTTCAATGCAAACACCACTGTAGCCAACTCCAAATCATGCGTAGGATAATCGGCTCATATGGCTTCAACTGCCTAGATGCATATTCCACTACCTTATCCTTCTGCATCAGGACACAACCCAAGCCCATCTTCGATGTATCACTATAGATGGTAAAACCTTCATTTCCGGACGGAACTATAAGTACTGGAGCAGACACCAATCGACTCTTTAGATCATGGAAACTCTTCTCACAATCATCAGACCATTCAAATTTAACCCCTTTTTATGTTAAACGAGTTAAAGGCATAGAAATTCGGGAAAATCCCTCAACAAACCTTCTATAATAACCTGCTAAACCCAAGAAGCTACGAATTTCAGTGACACTAGTAGGCCTATTCCACTCTACCACCGCCTCACTTTCTTGGGGTCAAGAGACACCCCGTCTTTAGATATCACATGACTCAAAAATGATACACTCTCCAGCCAAAATTCACACTTCCTTAATTTAGCAAATAATTTATTCTCCCTTAATAACTACAACACTATTCTCAGATGTTCTTCGTGCTGCTCTTTACTCTTTGAGTACACAAGAATGTCATCAATAAAAACTACCACAAACTGATCTAAGAAGGATCTAAATACTCTGTTCATTAAATCCATAAAAGCTGCAGGCGCATTGGTCAACCCAAACAACATCACTAAAAATTCATAATGCCCATACCTAGTTCGAAAGGCTGTCTTAGGTATATCTTCCACCTTAACCTTCAACTGATGATATCTAGAACGAAGGTCAATCTTAGAAAATACTTGTGCTCCTTGCAATTGATCAAATAGGTCATTTATCCTAGGCAAAGGATATTTATTTCGAATTGTCACCTTGTTTAACTCTTGATAATCAATGCAAAGGTGAAAACTACCATCCTTCTTTTTCACAAATAAAATGGGCACACCACAAGGAGAAACACTAGGCCTAATAAAGCCCTTATCTAGTAATTCTTGTAATTGTTCCTTCAATACTTGCCCCTGATTTTCTCCGACTGCTTGAGAACCACTACCAATATTAGTCACATTCCTTCACCGATTATTATTACCAGTCCGTCGATTCGTTTAACCCTGGTGTGTATTCCTAGCCATATTTGCCAATGTCTCCTCATGTTTCCATGCAACTTATATGCATCAATAATAAAACCTCATCTTATTCTATTCTCAAGTACCTATAGCACGTAAATAAAATTAACATTTTACTAAATTATAAGCGTTCCTAATCCTACACCTACCCAATCTTACCACTATTCTATACCAACTTTTAAAATTACAACTTGGCTCTGATACCATAAAATTGTCACGCCCCAAGCTCCGTGACAACGCCGCACACTCATATAAGTGAGCATGTGTGAGAACCCGAATATAAAAATTAAGTAAATAATTAAATAATAATATTACAATCTCAAATATTTTTGTGGTGAATTCTAAGGTGCAAATTAAATATTATTGGAGGATCTTTTAATTAATTTTAAACCTAAAATAAATTTATGGTGAAAGTCATTGATTTAGAAGCAAGATTTATTATTAAAAAAAAAAAATGGAGAAGAGGGTGTGACTTGAACTCTAGACCACATAATTAATAAGTTAGGCTCTTACCATTTGAGTTGCATATAACTTATACATATATTTTGTATATTTATTTATTTATTTGACCTATGTGTGCCCACCACTAGTATAAAATAAAATAAACACAAACCCTACTCTATTATTTGTTCACCACATAGGGCAACAACACAGCAGCCACGGGAGAGGGTTTGAGAGAAGGAAAAAAAGAAGAAGATGTTGCAATCAAGGAACTTTTGGGTGTGTTGTGTTGTGTGTGATCATCAAAGGTTAGCCCTCCTTGGTTTTCTTCTCTTCTTTTTGTTCTTCATCCTTATTCTATAATTATTTTGTTCATTGATGGAGAGGTTGTAGGTTTGTGTATTGTGTATATAGATATCCTATTAAGAAACTTGAGGAGCTAAATTTATGTGTAAAGATTGGGTGTAATTTTCAGTCCAAAAAAAAAATTCTGCACAGAATCGCAAACTTTAAAAATCAAGAAACCATATCAAACGGATGAATTTTAATCTGAAATTTTTACAGTAGATCAACTACATATTGAATTGCATATCTGAATTTTTTTATAATTTTTGGGAGTCAAAATCCATATAAATTGAGGTATTCAAATCTGTCCAGGAAACCAGTCCGAAATAGTAAATTCAGACTGTGGCAAGTGACCTCGGGGTCAATGCCAGGCATTTCATAAGGTGTCCAGGCGAACGCCTCTATGTTTGCCCTTAAAAAATCTTCCAGTTCTTTTTCCTCTCCTTTAGCTAAGCCTGAGCCGAGAAGAAAAAATCGTTCTTCGTCGCCCTCCTGGACGAGGATTTTCTTTAGCGCCTCTTCGCTTTTCTCGGCTGGTTC